ACTTGTTAGTTTGTGCCATATATGGAACACGTACTACAAACCCGCCTCGATCGTGTTCCACCGCATATTGTGTTGTGCAATGACGACAACCAATGCACATAAATTACGTCATCAGTCACGACCGTGACCCTGGTTGTAAGCATCAGAAAAAGGTTGGTGCACGATTCATGTATATTTTAATGTATCCACTAGTTTAGCGCTAGTTTCCATCATATTTAGTGCAATTATCCTAGTTATACCAACTGAAAACAGATGATTTGAAAACATGAACACAATATATTAGAATCATGGTCAATAATTACCATTTGCGATATTCTAGATTTGAATCACTTGCACGTTGCAGTCGGTAGATAGAGCTGAGTATCGCAATTAACAGTAATTATATAAGCAAAGGAGAAAAATAGAACGAGGAATTAAACCTGCAAAAAAAMCCCTGCAATCACGGACAACTAGTTTTCTACTAAGTTATATGCCATAATCAAGTGAAAAGTATTCTGGTTACTAATACGATCATGATTTCCGACATTATGATTATTGTTAGGTTATCATAATGAACATCATTTTTCTATTAAAAGCAAGATTTCGTGCAAGGAATTCATCATCAATCACTAAGTTTTAAATAACTCCACTCAAATCATTATTGCCGTATCGTCCGACCGTCCAATCATCGAGAAGGATTTTTTAAGTGGGTTCTTTGAGGCTAAGAGATTTAGCTAATRAAGCCAAGGCACGCGAATAATTTCATGCAAACACTAAAAATGTCCTAGTGTAACATATAGCCAAACAAAGCCAAGAAATTACATTGTTTCGATTTACACTAAATAAGTACCAACTAGGTCAACTAGCTATAGCAGCACATAGTGGCTGGTTTTGTCTGTGGTCCCAATGAAATAGTCAACTCAAACTACGGTTTGACAGAGAACAATATTTGCTACACAAGACTTTTGTTAATAAATCGTTAGTAAAGGATCAATCAACAGCTTGTGATTTTCATTGCTAAATGTACCTTTATACTAAGTAAGTGAAGCATAAACTTGTCCGATCCTTATGTAACATCACTAGCTTAGKKAGGGGGGCAACGGGAAAGGGCACGTGTCTCCCAAAGATTTTGGCAAATCTAATAATAATTGTATGGAGGAAAAATTGAAATATACGACTTTTCAAGCTTTTTAATATGTGCGACCCCGAAAAATGTTCATCCTCGCTACGCCTGGTGTTTGTTGCAAATCGCTGTCTTCATACTGATTTTTGTTTTTCTCAGAGGCCATGGGGATATTAGGAGGCTATAAAAGCCTTCTAGCGCTATGTGTAGGATTAATAATCCTAGAATGCACGGTAAGTTCTTTATCGTTTGTTTTGATGTTTTTTAAATTGGTCACCCGATATATAGAATACCAGTAAAGAATAATACAGGGACAGGCCAATCAAAACCCGTATGTTCTTGGTCGAGGCTGGTAAAATTGGGTATTCACTTGATGAAGATCGTGTCAGGATACCCGCGTTAAAACATTAGAACTAGAATGTATATGTGCCTACAGGTAAACTTTGCAAGTAAAAACACTACTCGTATTGATCAATTGAAAATGAATATTGCAAATACAAATACAAGAAAACTGAGCAAAATATTATTTCAATGTTACGTTATGTGTAAAATACACTTTTAAACGTTCATGCATTATAAGTGAACATTACGGTCTGTACATATTTCATAACGTACAATTCTTCATTTTTTTTTGACAGACGTCGCAAATGAATCGAGACTGGCCAAAAATCGGTGACAGAATAACACAACCATTTCTTGATCCTACTGGTGGTGGCCTAAACGGTCCTCCGGGTCCACCAGGTCCTTCTGGTTCCCAAGGAGAGGCTGGGCCGTCAGGTATTGCTGGACCACCCGGTCCTCCAGGACATGTGGGTGAAGATGGTGCTCCTGGCGCTCCTGGTGCCCCCGGACCTCCAGGTTCAGCTGGTGMTCCCGGTCTTCCTGGTGAGAAGGGAGATATTGGTGAGACTGGTGCAACCGCTGCAGTTGTTCTACCCAGAGATCCAGATCTTTCTGGTCCACTGTTATYGAGTTCCATCTGTAAAAACACTTGTGACAATACCAACAAAACACAGTAAACTTGAAAAACATGTATGACTTAATTAATAAATTCCCGTGGGAATTCACCTTCATTATACCCATCCATGTAAAAATGGCAATAGATGAAAGCGCGCTGACTGGGTATTTTACAAGTTAAGTGTTGTGAAATAGGAAAGTGTTTTGCTTATGATTCCATTGAAATTTACTGGCTCCTGATATCAATTTTTTTCAAACTTGATCCCTGATTCCCCAAATTGTATGCTTTTTTACATCTCTGATCCCAATCCCAGCTGTGATCCCGATCCGCACACAAGAAAATCGTGATCAATCACCCCAGAATATCGCTGATCCCTGATTGTATATCACGTGACGACTCTGACCACTTGGCTATTAATAATAATTTTAATAATTAAAGTTAATACTTATCAATATTAATATTAATTATTAATACTAATTATCTTAAAAACTTCTGTGTCGATTTGATTCAGCCTGATTTGCTTCATATATATTAGAGAGCTTAAGCATGACGTTCACGGCAAACGGCAGAAAAGATCACGTGACCTGTTTCTGGGGGGTTTATGCACTACTTAATTGAAACCCCCGCCCCCCAACCCCCGGGGAATTTAACGCTTGAGTGGTGTTAAAATAAGACATTTCTCCCCGTAGTCGGGGGCACATTCATTGTTAAAATCCCCGCTAATGTTGCCCCGCTATTTTGGTCTAGTAGTAAATAACAAAATAAAGACCTTTCAATCAAATGTTCTGTGATACACAAGGTTAATTTTTGTATCATCCTGTGTTTTCATTTGCGTACTACATGAGGCTAACTGGACGGACAAAAACATGTGTAATAAGTTTCTTTTAATTTTTTTTTCATGGAAGGAAAAATAATCAAATGAAAAAACAGGGTTGAATAYAAATGCCTTCAGGGTATTTCTCAAGATGSCCGACCTCTAGTTTTCAGCCTCATACATGAAAAAACGCGCGTCAAAATCCCCGCTCTTTGCCCCGCTTCGAAAACAATTTATCAAAATCTCGCCCCCCGGGCTGTTAAWAACGCGTCACGCCCCCGTTCAGCGTCCCGCTAGCYCCGGGGTTCTTGGATCAGTTTCAACGCGAGAKTGGGTTATTTTGGGATTGCCATAATTGCGAAAAGTCGATCTTTCAAATGGCTACCACAAACACAAGGTCAGAAATTCTTAGGYAATTGGTTCAGCTCTACCGTTAGYCGTTTGCCGTAAACGTGATGCTTGAATTTTCTATTGATTCRAGTCAAAAACCCTCAACTACGAAGGGTTTGAAGTGTGCCGATGTTTGTTAAAAACTGACTTTGGCGGGAAACAGCTGACCGGCTACATTAACTTGATAGCTGCCTTTTTCAACGAACTCCTTGGTAACACCATCCGCGTTACTCGTGATGTACCCCAGGCAAACAGGGACATCCTGTAAGTAGCTCATTGTTGCTGAGGASGTCATACCAGCACTTTGACCATCTCGTAGGATAGGTTCAGCCCCCCAGGGGATGCAATTGTCATCGTACTTTTCTAAAGTGATGTGTACAATACGTTTGTTGACTGGTTTGTCTTTTAAATCAAGGAACGCTTTCTTCCCAATGAAATCACTTTCCTGTAGAAAGAGGTATCATGGTCATGTCATGAACGAACTAAAAGGCAACTGAAATATAACTTAGTTTAAGCATCTTACATGAACTTTCGAACTGTGGAGTGAATGTGGCCGGTCTATGATTTGAATGTG